CTATCTCTCTGTCTCTCTGTATCTCTCTTTGTCTGTCTTTGTCTGTCTCTCTCTCTGTCTCTCTCTCTCTCTATCTGTCTCTTTCTCTCTCTCTGTCTCTCTCTCTTTCTCTCTCTCTCTCTTTCTCTAACTGTCTCTCTCTCTGTCTCTTCTTTCTCTAACTGTCTCTCTCTCTGTCTCTCTCTTTGTCTGTCTCTCTCTCTGTCTCTTTCTCTCTCTCTCTCCCTCTATCTGTCTCTTTCTCTCTCTCTCTGTCTCTCTCTCTTTCTCTCTCTCTCTTTCTCTAACTGTCTCTCTCTTTGTCTGTCTCTCTCTCTGTCTCTTTTTCTCTCTTTCTTTCTCTGTGTCTGTCTCTCTCTGTCTCTCTCTCTCTGTGTATCTCTCTTTGTCTGTCTGTCTCTCTCTCTCTCTCTCTCTTGCTTTTGGGCTGTGATGAAGTTGTTCATTTTTCACATCTCCAGTGACTGATTCTGTGAGTGACATCAGGGTGGGATCACCAAATTTAGGGAGGGTTGCATTGCATGATGGATGGTGAGCAAAAACTTTGGAGGATAAATGAGTCCTAAATCCTGAGTAATTGGGTGGACCGAGGACGGCCACTTAGTGTGTGGGGGGGTGTCTTGGCAGGATTGGCTAAGTGAGGGAAGACGATGGGGAAACTGAGGCCGAGGGAAGGATTTTGAGCCTCATTCCGTGGCTGAGCTGAATTCTATCCATACTTTTATTTATTTTATTTATTAAATTTCATTTTATTTATGCTATGTTATGTCATTTTATTCTTTTATAGGTAGTCCTCGGCTTACAATTGAGCCCAAAATTATTTTATTTAACTTTTATTAAATTTTATTTTATTTATGTTGTGTTCTTATTTTATAGGTAATCCTTCACTTACAACAATTCATTTAGTGACTGAATGTCTTACAAAGGCATTGAAAAAAGCAATTGTTAACCATTTTATAACCATTGTAGCCTCCCCATGGTCACATAATAAAAATCCAGATGCTTGGCAGCTGACTTATATTTATGAGGACTAGCTGTATTTTTGTTTAATTTTAATTTTTATCTTATTTTGTTATATTATTATAATTGTAATATATAATAATATATTGTTATCGTTATTGTTGTTATTATTAATTGAATTTATATTGCCACCTATTCGGCCATGGCGACTCAAGGCAGCTTACAAAATGTCTAAAATATCTAAAAAAAATTAAAAAAACAAAAAATAAATAAAAACTAATGTGTGTGTGTGTGTGTGTGTGTGTTAAGTTTTCGCGGGTACTTACATGTATGGTATTCAGCTTTGTTTGGGTATTTTCCCACGTCATTATAGTTGTGCTTTTAAAGTTGTAGCAACGTTTCGGCAGAATCTCATCTGCCATCATCAGGCTTCTGTATTGTGTTCGTGTGTGAGCCAGACTTTTACAGTTGTTTCAGTTTTAAATTTGGGGCTAGCCTACTGCTGTGCCAGAATGGTTTTTTCTTCATCCTGATTGGTTGGGAGTCTTGGTCTGTGTTTATTGGTCTTGGAGTTTGCTGTGTTCTGCTTGATTTGTGTCTCTAATATCTTCTGTCTGTTTTGTGGCTTTTTTTTGTCTTGATTGGCTGGCAACATTGTGTTCCTGTATTGGAGGCTTTTAGTGCAGCTTGGATCCGAGTAAATGGATGGCTATCATTTGTTAGGAAGTCTTACTCGGAGCCAAGCTGCACTAAAAGCCTCCAATACAGGAACACAATGTTACCAGCCAATCAAGACACAAAAAAGCCACAAAACAAACAGAAGATATTAGAAACACCAATCAAGCAGAACACAGCAAACTCCAAGACCAATAAACACAAACCAAGACTCCCAACCAATCAGGATGAAGAAAAAACCATTCTGGCACAGCAGTAGGCTAGCCCCAAATTTAAAACAGAAACGGCTGTGAAAGTCTGACTCACAGACGAACACAATACAGAAGCCTGATGATGGCAGATGAGATTCTGCCGAAACGTTGCTACAACTTTAAAAGCACAACTATAATGACGTGGGAAAATACCCGAACAAAGCCGAATACCATACATGTAAGTACCCGCGATAACTTAAGAAAACGTGTGTGTGTGTGTGTGTGTGTGTGTGTGTGTGTGTGTGTATATATATATAATTTTATTTTTTAGTCAGCCAGATGTACACACTGGATTTGGTATTTATTTCCACCTCTTGAGTCCTTCCTAAAGACCTGGAATAGGCAGATGTGCATGTTTGAGGGAACTAAAGATCTTGTCGCAGGATGCAGCTGTTGCGAGCAAAGTTGCCCTTTGCAATTGACTGATGGGGAATTTGTCATTGCCGAAGATGTTCAAAGGATCCACCAGGTGTTTTGACATTTCACCCAAGGCGCCGATCACTCTTGGTCCTATCTTTGCTTTCTTCTGCCACAAGTCATTCCATTTCTCTTTTCAGTTCCTTGTATTTTATCATCTCAGCTAACTGCCCCGTCTACTATCTTTTTATTTTGTTTGAATTTAGGATTTTATTTATTTATTCCATTTTATATCGCTGCGCATTTCATTAAAAGCAAGTCCCTTTTGTAAATCAACTTTCTTTTTCGGTGCCGTGGTAACTTCAAATCAATGGTTGTAAGTTCAGGACTATTTGTGCTTTTCTGGGTTTTTTTTTTAAAAACTATAAGAATCTGAGGCTCAGAAAAATCTCCTTCAAAGCAGATGCAGCTGGATTAAAACATCTGTTTTTTTAATGCCAACCTTTTGCTGGCGGGCTTTAGATGCCAGAAAGAAATCCAAGCAATTGATACTGGGGTGGGAAGCCACTTCTTACTACAGATGTGGGAGGTTCAGTTTATATTTGGAAAAATTGACTCAAGACACTCTGAGCCAGCTGTGCTATTGGAAAAACTGACTACCGTATGCAAAAATGTCTATATCTATCCATCTGTCTGTCTATCTATCTATCTATCTATCTATCTATCTATCTATCTATCTATCTATCTATCTATCTATCTATCTATCAGAATCTCATGTCTATACATGAGAATAGAATAAGGGAAGTTGAAGATCCGAACTGTGCTGATGTCTTATTGCTGAGTTTCATTTGTCTGAAATGGTAGAGGGTCTCCTGTTTGTGCAGGGAGAGGTTGGACTAGAAGACCTCTTAAGAACCCTTCCCACTGTTATTCTGTTAACTTTTTCTTATTTGTTTGTTTGACGGCTGCTGATTGTATGGTGTGTTTTTTGTTTTGTTTTGCATCTTTGTTGTTGTTTTTTAACGCCGTGCTTTCACAATTGTTAGCCAGGGCAGAGAGAGAGAGAGAGAGAGAGAGAGAGAGAGAGGCATGGATCAATGGAGACATTCAACAAAGAAGTGGTGTTTTGTGTTGTGTTGAAAAGGGATGGCGATTTGCTGAGGAAGAGAAAGAATTAAAATAGCCATTTCGGGGCTGGGACGGTGAGCTATTGGGGATGTTTTCTAAGGACTAATCCAGGGGCGGGCTTCAAAAATGTGAGCGAGGGATTCTCTGAGGGGTCGCTGGGTGGGCGTGGCCATGGTGGGCGTGGCCTACTCAGCCTCCTGCACCACGGTCAGGGGAGGGGCGTTTTTGCCCTCCCCGGGCTCCGGAGGCTTTCCTCAGGCCTCTGGGAGGGTGAAAACGGCCTCTCTGGGCTCCGGAGGCTCTCTGGAAGTTGGAAACAGGCCCATTTCCAGCCTTCCCGAATTTCTGGGAGGCCCGTTTTTCAGCCTCCCTGTGCGCCTTGCATTTACCTGCATCCAAAACAGGCCGTGTGGGGACTCCGGGGAGGGGAGGGGTGGGTGGGTGGGTAGGGCCAGCCAGGAGTGGGATTTGGGGGGGGGTGTCTCCAAACTGCACAGAATCTTAGCTAGGGGCTCTCACAACCCCCTGCGGACCCCCGGCAGCCCAGCCTTGGACTAATCTTAGCTAAATGCATAGATTGAAGGGAGGGATTTTGGGGTGGGTGGGAGGTGGGGACTTTGCCCCCAAAGCCTGGCCCTCTTTGCTGTCCTCTTTTGCCTTCTCTGCTCCATTTTGACCCCCCCCCCCAAACTCAAAAGGGGATCAAAAAAGGGAGGATGTGTGTAGAAATATCGATCAGGGTGTCTCTGAGCATGTCGTGATTGGTTTCTTCCTTTAACAGCCCAGATTAGATCAAAGGTTGGTGCGGAGGGGTCTACTGGTCTCTGGCCCCCACTATTGGGGGGGGGGTTGAGAATTTGAGCCATGGGGCAGAGTGTGTGGTGTGGAGATTAATAGGAAATGGGGTTGAATATGGGGTAGCACCTGGGCTGTTTTGATCTGGGGTGGTGTTGATCTTTTACTGCTGTCCAGAGACATTGTGAGATGGAGGGAACGGAGGGAGGGAGGAAGGAGGAAAGAAAGATAAAAAGAGAGGGAGGGACAAAAGGAAAGGAGGAAGAAAAGAAAGAGAGAAGGAAGGAAGGAGGAAAGAAAGAGGCAAGGAGTTAGGAAGGAAGGAAGAGGAGGAAGAATAGATAAAGAGGAAAGGGGAGGGAAGGAAGGAAGGAGAGAAAGATAAAGTGATAAACAAAGAGGAAAAGAAAGACAAAGAAGGAAAGGGGAGGAAGACAGAAAGGAAGGACAGAGAGAGATAAAAATGAAAGAGAGGGAGGAAAGAAATGAGAGACTGGAGGAAGAAAGGAAGGAGAGAAGGAGGTAGGGATGGAGGAGAAGAAAAGAAAGCAAGGAAGAAAAGGAAGAGGAAGTTGAAAGAAAGATAAAAAAGAGGAAGGATGGAAAGAGAGAAAGAAGAAAGGAGAGAGGGAGGAGATGAGAAAGGAAGGAAGAGAAAAAGGAAAGAGAGACAGACGGAAAGAGGAAGAAGGAAGAAGGTGGGGTGGGTAGGAGGCTCCTGGAGGAATCTGGTTAGGGAAGATACTAGAAAATGTGGATTTTTTTTCTCCCCCTTTTTGCTCCATTCACAAGACCCTCCAACTCACAAACCATCTCCTTTCTCTCTGCTGCAGGTTCTGACCCGGTTCCAGAGGACCTGTGAGCCCCGGTGAGGTGGGCAGGCAGCCCAGCCGAGGTCAGAGTCCCCTGCCCAGCCCTCAGCATGAATCCCACTTCTCCGGTGTGTCTGGTCATCCCCATTGCCAGCCTCCTCTCCTGGCTCATGACCGGCTGCGCCACCGAAAGTAAGTCTTGAACATGGCACCCACTCCCGATTTGGCAAAACCGGAGCTCACGGGCACGTTTTTCTGGTCTGTCCTCATCTGGCTGGGCAGCTGGATGCGATAGTTGGGAAGACACTCTGCACATGTTCAAGGTGCTCTTGTCCTCCGAGAAGAGGAGAAGAGTGTTCTGACATAGGCTTCACAAACTCAGAGTCCCGCAAACAGTCTTTCAAGAGTGATTTACAATACAGACCTTATCAGGCTTGGAGAGTTGCCAGGCCGATAGCTTCCAAGCGCACAATGCGGTAGCAGCAATTACTTGGCAAGAAGTCAGGAACAGATCTTCAGCCTAATGAATTGACCTAATTGTCTCCTGCAAAACCCCACTCCCCTTTCGCTCCTTTTTATTCCCTATGGCGGGGGGGCATTCACCGTCCTCCTGTGCCTTTACTCCCGAGTTGACCTTTGTTCCTTAGCTGTTCCCTTCTCCTGGCAGCTCTGCGCATGCACACACTGGGAACAGGCTCCAGCTGTTCTTCTTCCCTACTGATCTCCGACTCTGAAGGCAGCTGATAACTGTTGGACGGCCCTGGCCCCATCTCTGCCTCCGACGCAGAGCCCTCCTCAGAGCCTTCCCCAGACTCCAGGACTGGCCCAGTTTCCTCCCCAACCTCCTCACTGTTTGAGTCTGCCGCCAGCTCCGCTGACCACTGGCGGGCCACACCACAGAGCAACTTTTTTAATGTAAATTTTTATTTTTAATATAATAATTCCATCTTCAGTTGAACAGTGTGTCAGCCGGGTACAAATATCTTTGTAGAATAATAATCAAAATTTACAGTGTTGTTCATTACCTTAGTATGAATTCTACCATATTAAAATAATAATATTCAACATACTAATCAGAATATTGGCCTCTCTCTCTTAACCTATTTTCTTTATTTTGTTTCCCTGTTTCTAACTTCCATTTTTATTATTTAGCCATCGATAAAATAAAACCCATGTCATGACAGTATTCAGTTTGCTCTTTTCTCCTTTAACGGCAAGCGTTAAAGTCTATTCATTTCTGCACACTCTTAATATTTTTCCGAATCACATTCTCATCTGTGGGGTGTCTCTTCACTCTTCCAGTTTTGTGCAAATACAATTCTAGCGGCAGTTATACAGGGGTGAGCTTCAGCCGGTTCGTGCTGGTTCGGGCAAACTGGATGTTAATTTTACGATCGGTTCAATGAACCGGGAGTTCCGACAACCGGCTGGCCCCGCCCCATCCTGCCCTTCCCCTCATGGCCCGTTTTGCATCCCAGATAAGTGCAGGAGGCATGTGGAGCCCAGGGAGGTGGAAAATGGGCCTCCCAGAGAGTGAAAACAACCTTTTTCCGGCCTCCAGAGAGCCTCTGTAGCCCGGGGAGGTGGAAAACCGGCCCTGCACAGCCCATTTTCGCTCCCAGGACGTTGCAGGAGGCCGGCTAGGCCACGCCCACCATGGCCACGCCCACCCAGCAATTTGGCAGAGAACCCGTTGCTAAATTATTTGAAGCCCGCCACTGGGCAGCTAATAAATAAATAATTAAATATGCATTTCCCTGACTAGATTTTTCGGGTAAAATCCCCATATTCTGGCTTTTATTTCTGGCACCTTATTCTGGCACCTTATTTCGTTGTTCTCAGGTTCTGAGTACAATGACAATAAATTTATCTTATCTTATCTTATCTTTATATGGTGCTTTTTTTAATCATTTTTTTTTCCAGCCACGTATGTATTTTAGGATAAGAGCACCTTGAACCATGTGCAGAGTGTGTGGGAGACACGGAAAAGAAGAAGCTGATTGGTTTAGGGCTGAGGGGACGGGGAAGGGGCGGTCCAATGTGGCTTCAAACGGCAAGATTAGAACCCAGGATTGGGAAAGTAAAGTGGGACAGGACGTGTTAGGAGGCTCTTTCAGCTGCAGGATAATGGAGATTTTTTCTAAAAGGAAGAACTACAGGTGGATCTCGACTTACAACAGTTCGTTTAATGACCGTTCCAGGTTACAAAGGCACTGGAAAAAGTGATTTATTATCTTAGTTAGTTATGATGGATGTGATTTGAGTAACTTACTGGAAAAGCTTTTCCTAAGGACAGTAAGGAAAATGCATATTTAGTTATCCATATATTAACTGGTGCTAAAATTGTATTTGAACAAAATTGGAAGAGTGAAGAGATACCTACGGATGAGAATGTGATTAGGAAAATATTAGAATGTGCGGAAATGAATAGAGTAACGCTGGCAATTAAGGAGAAAGAGCAAACCGAATATTACATGATATGGAATCTATTTTACCAATGGTTAAATAATAAAAATGGAAGTTAGAAACAGAGAAACAAAATACAGAAGATATGTTCAAAGAGATAAGTAAATATTATGACTAGTAAGTTGAATATTATTCTGTTAATATTGTAGAATTAATATGTGGAATATTATTATGTTAAAAGATTGCAGAATCAATATTAATTTAACGAAGGATGTTGTAATTTTTGATTATTGTTTAACAAAGGTATTTGTACCCAGACAACACACTGTTCAACTGAAGATGGAATGATTATATTAAAAAGAAAAAAAATACTATAAAAAAGGGAAAAAAACAAAAGCTTTGGGAAGGGCCAGCATATCAAACTTTTAATGAAATAACTTGTTTTCATTCCGATTACATACAAACTCATGCAATTCATTTGCAAAGCTGGTTAAAAGACAGAGTTTCCCCACCTGTGGCAGTTTCCAGGTGTGTGGACTTCAACTCCCAGAATTCCCCAGGCTTACGACCCTTGGTCATGTGATTAAAAGTCAGAGCCTTGGTAACTGACTTGTATTTATGACGGTTGCTGCATCCTGGGGTCATGTGATCCTCTTTTGTGACAGGCAAAGTCAGTGGGGAAGCCAGATTTATTGAACAACCATGTGACTAACTTACCAATTGCAGTGATTCATTTAACAACTTGGGCAAGAAAGGTCATAAAATGGGGCTAAATTAACGGCTGTCTTGCTTAGCGATAGAAATGTTGGGTTGAATTTTGATCGTAAGTCGAAGTCTAGTACATATAAAAATTGGGTTGAATTACAGATTCCCCCTGTTTAATTGTTCCACCTGTTAACTTGCTGTGAAAGGAAGGAAGGAAGGAAGGAAGATGGAAGATAAAAGAGGAAGGAAGGAAGGAAGAAAAGAGTGAGAAAAGAAAAAAGGGAGGGAGGGAGGAAAGAAGGAAGGAAAACATGAAGGAAAAATAGGAAGAAAAAAAGGACGGAAGTGGGAAAGAAAGAAGGAAGGAAAAAGAAGATGGAAGACAAAAAGGAAGGGAGGAAGGAAGAAGAGAGGGAGGAACGATAAAAGGGAGGGAGGGAGGAAAGAAGGAAGGAAAATATGGAGGAAGAAAAAATAGGAAGAAAAAAGGGACAGAAAGAAGGGAGGGAAGAAAAAAGGAAAGGAAAAGGAAAAGGAAGATGGAAGACAAAAAAGGAAGGAAGGAAGGAAGGAGGAAGAGAGGGAGGAACAATAAAAGGGAGGGAGGGAGGAAAGAAGGAAGGAAAACATAAAAGAAAAAATAGGAAGGAAAAAAGGATGGAGGTGGGAAAGAAGGGAAGAAGGAAGGAAGGAAGCTTACCTGGGTACAGGGCTGTACCTTTTACTACAAAGTCAATAAATGATATTTTTTTCCAGGCTCCTAAATCATAAAGTATTTAAAAGTTAATGCCTTGAAACTTCATCGGATGGCGTTTAAAGTGGAGTTTATCTCCCTTAAGTCCTTCCATTCTGCACCCTCAATCCCGAACAAGGAGTTTACTGAGGTTGCTTATTGCACGGGTATCTCAAAATATTATGTGGTTAAGGCTTAAAATGGATTTTCCCCCCACTCCACTGGCAGCTCAAACGTGTTAGTTCGTGCCAGAAATTCTGTGCACGACTTAAATGCAGCTCCTTTATTAAATGTAAAGCCTCCCTCGGTTCCTGATGGCTACCAGAAATGATCCACGCAGCTTTCAGAGCAAAAAAACCCCCTTTTTTTCTGGGAATTTTCTTTTCTTAGCAGATTCCTCTAGGAACTGTTTTAATTGTTGTGTGCTGCCCGGGCTTACTTTTCTGTGAGTTGGGTGGCCACATAAATTTGGTAAACAAATAAATAGTTCATCGCTAGGTAGCCTCCCATCCAAGTTGGATCGAACCAGCTCTAACCCTGCCTAGGGTTGGGAGGGCACCTTGGAGGTCTTGTAGTCCAACCCTCTGCTCAGGCTGGAAACCCTATACATTTCAGAGAAATGGTTATCCAGTCCCTTCTTAAAAACTTCCAGTGTTGGAGCATTTAAAACTTCTGGAGGCAGGTAGTTCCACTGGTTAATTGTTCTCACTGTCAGGAAATTCCTCCTTAGTTCTAAGTTGCTTCTCTCCTGGATTAGTTTCCATCCATTGTTTCTTATCCTGCCTTCAGGTGCTTTGGAGAGTAGCTTGACTACTTCTTCTTTGGGGCAGCCCCTCAAATATTGGAAGACTGCTATCGTGTGGTTCTTCTTTTCATTAAACTAGATAGACACAATTCCAGCAATTATTCTTTATATGTTTTAGCCTCCGGTCCCCTAATCATCATTGTTGCTCTTCTCTGAACTCTTTTCTAGAGTCTCAACATCTTTTTTACATCCTGGCGACCAAAACTGAATGCAAATATTCCAAGTGTGGCCTTACCAAGGCCTTCTAAAGTGGTATTAACACTTCAGGTGATCTTGATTCTGTCCCTCTGTTGATGCAGCCTAGAACTGTGTTGGCTTTTTTGGCAGCTGCAGCACACGGCTGGCTCATATTGAAGTGATTGTCCCCTAGGATTCCAAGGTCCCTCTCACAGTTACTATTGTTGAGCCAGGTACCACCTATTCTATACCCATGCCTTTGGTTTTTCCTGCCTAAATGTAGAACCTTACTTTTTTTTTTTCACCATTGAAGGGACCTTGGAGGTCTTCTAGTCCAACCCCCTGCCCAAGCAGAAGACATATAGC